ATAGAGTGCTTTTCTTCAGGGGACACTCAGAGGAGCCCATTCCTGCTGGGCTGTTTGCCTTTGGCTAAACAGAAATGTTCCCCGCTGTTAGCCACAGGGAGGGGGGAAGGTTGAGGGGGTAGCCACACGGTGGGGGGAGGCAAAATGCGACCTTGTAACGAAAGCATATGTGCTATGTATGTAATGTTAACAGCAAGGTTTACCCTGAAAGAGTGTAGCCACTGTTTTATAAAATGTGTCTTTTTAAATACCGCTGTCCCTTTTTTTTCTCCACCAGCTGCATGTGTTTCAATGATCACAGGATCTTCTCCTTCCCAGAGGCTAGTGAAGCTTAGAAAGAAAAAAAAACGCACTCGCGATGAAATGTTCTCCGAGCTCATGCTGTCCTCCCACACTGACAGAGCACAGACGAATGCGTGGAGGCAAATAATGTCAGAGTGCAGGAAAGCACAAAATGACCGGGAGGAGAGGTGGCGGGCTGAAGAGAGTAAGTGGTGGGCTGAAGAGAGGGCTGAAGCTCAAATGTGGCGGCAGCGTGATGAGAGGAGGCAGGATTCAATGCTGAGGCTGCTGGAGGATCAAACTAATATACTCCAGCGTATGGTTGAGCTGCAGCAAAGGCAGCTGGAGCACAGACTGCCACTACAGCCCCTGTGTAACCAACCGCCCTCCTCCCCAAGTTCCACAGCCTCCACACCCAAACGCCCAAGAATGCTGTGGGGGGGCCTCCGGCCAACCAGCCATTCCACCACAGAGGATTGCCCAAAAAAAAGAAGGCTGTCATTCAATAAATGTTAAAGTTGTAAACTTGTACAGTGCTGTGTGGCATTTTCCTTCCCTCCTCCACCACCCCTCCTGGGCTACCTTGGTAGTCATCCCCCTATTTGTGTGATGAATGAATAAAGAATGCATGAATGTGAAGCAACAATGACTTTATTGCCTCTGAAAGCGGTGATTGAAGGGAGGGGGAGCGGGTGGTTATGTTACAGGGAAGTAGAGTGAACCAAGGGGCGGAGGGGGAGGGGGGTTCATCAAGGTGAAACAAACAGAACTTTCACACCGTAGCCTGGCCAGTCATGAAACTGGTTTTCAAAGCTTCTCTGATGCGTACCGCGCCCTCCTGTGCTCTTCTAACCGCCCTGGTGTCTGGCTGTCCGTAACCAGCAGCCAGGCGATTTGCCTCAACCTCCCACCCCGCCATAAACGTCTCCCCCTTACTCTCACAGATATTGTGGAGCACACAGCAAGCAGTAATAACAGTGGGAATATTGGTTTCGCTGAGGTCTAAGCGAGTCAGTAAACTGCGCCAGCGCGCCTTTAAACGTCCAAATGCACATTCTACCACCATTCTGCACTTGCTCAGCCTGTAGTTGAACAGCTCCTCACTACTGTCCAGGCTGCCTGTGTACGGCTTCATGAGCCATGGCATTAAGGGGTAGGCTGGGTCCTCAAGGATACATATAGGCATTTCAACATCCCCAAGGGTTATTTTCTGGTCTGGGAATAAAGTCCCTTCCTGCAGCTTTTGAAACAGACCAGAGTTCCTGAAGATGCGAGCGTCATGTACCTTTCCCGGCCATCCCACGTTGATGTTGGTGAAACGTCCCTTGTGATCCACCAGTGCTTGCAGCACTATTGAAAAGTACCCCTTGCGGTTTAGGTACTCGGCGGCTTGGTGCTCCGGTGCCAAGATAGGGATATGGGTTCCGTCTATGGCCCCACCATAGTTTGGGAATCCCATTGCAGCAAAGCCATCCACTATGACCTGCACATTTCCCAGGGTCACTACCCTTGATATCAGCAGATCTTTGATTGCGTGGGCTACTTGCATCACAGCAGCCCCAACAGTAGATTTGCCCACTCCAAATTGATTCCCAACTGACCGGTAGCTGTCTGGCATTGCAAGCTTCCACAGGGCTATCGCCACTCGCTTCTCAACTGTGAGGGCTGCTCTAATCTTGGTATTCATGCGCCTCAGGGCAGGGGAAAGCAAGTCACAAAGTTCCATGAAAGTGCCCTTAACGCATGCGAAAGTTTCGCAGCCACTGGGAATCGTCCCAGACGTGCAACACTATGCGGTCCCACCAGTCTGTGCTTGTTTCCCGAGCCCAGAATCGGCGTTCCACAGCATGAACCTGCCGCATTAGCACCATGATGCATGCATTGGCAGGGCCCATGCTTTCAGAGAAATCTCTGTCCATGTCCTGATCACTCACGTGATCAAGCTGACGTTGCCTCCTCGCCCGGTATCACTTTGCCAGGTTCTGGTGCTGCATATACTGCTGGATAATGCGTGTGGTGTTTAATGTGCTCCTAATTGCCAAAGTGAGCTGAGCGGCCTCCATTCTTGCCTTGGTATGGTGTCTGCACAGAAAAAAGGCGCGGAATGATTGTCTGCCATTGCTCTGACGGAGGGAGGGGCGACTGATGACACGGCTTACAGGGTTGGCTTCAGGGAGCTAAAACCAACAAAGGGGGTGTCTTTACATCAAGGAGTATTTCAGGCAGGACTTCACGGAGGGTTCCAATAAGAAATGGTGCACCTAAGTTATTGTTCTTATTGGAACAAGGAGGTTAGCCTGGCCTCTGATTGATACATGGCTAGATTTACCTCGCTGCACCTTCTCTGTGAGTGACTGCAGTGTGACCTAGAGGAATGGGTCCCCTAGGCAGGGGAGGAGGCAAATGAGTACAAAACAAATCTGGTCTATTTCTTGTTTTGATCCACTCCATCTATCTTTTACATCTTTGGCTGGCAGCAGACGGTGCAGAAGGACTGCATGCCATCCACATCTCATGGCTGCTCGGCAGAAGATGGTACAGTACGACTGCTAGCAATCCGTATCGCCTGCCTGCTCACCATAAGACTGTTCAATAGAACTGACTGCAGGACTAAAGAGAATGACCTGGTCAAGTCACTCCAAATTTAGTCCCTGCACCAATGTCTGCCCAGGCGCTCCCAGCCGACGTGGCCAGGAGCAGCTCGGACACGATGAGGACGGCTACCAGTCATACTGCACCGTCTGCTGCCAGAAGGCAATGGGTTGCTGCTACTGTGTAGCAAAGCCGTACCGCGTCTGCCAGCACCCAAGAGACATAGGGTGACGGTTACCTGAGCGGGCTCCTTGCTTGCCGTGGTATGGCGTCTGTACAGGTAACTCAGGAAAAAAGGCGCGAAATGATTGTCTGCCCTTGCTTTCACGGAGGGAGGGAGGGAACGGGGGCCTGACGATATGTACCCAGAACCACCCGCGACAATGTTTTAGCCCCATCAGAGTGCTCCATTGTGACTGCTCTGGACAGCACTCTCAGATGCACAATTGTTTGCCGTTGCTCTGACGCAGGGAGGGGCGACTGAGGACACAGCTTACAGGGTTGGCTTCAGGGAGCTAAAGTCAACAAAGGGGGTGTCTTTACATCAAGGAGTATTTCAGGCAGGACTTCACAGAGGGTTCCAATAAGAAATGGTGCACTAAGTTATTGTTCTTATTGGAACAAGGAGGTTAGCCTGGCCTCTGATTGATATATGGCTAGATTTACCTCGCTGCACCTTCTCTGTGAGTGACTGCAGTGTGCCTAGAAGAATGAGTCCCCTAGACGGGGGAGCGGGGGAAGCAAATGAATACAGAACAAATCTGGTCTATTTCTTGTTTTGATCCACTCCATCTATCTTTTACATCTTTGGCTGGCAGCAGACGGTGCAGAAGGACTGCATGCCATCCACATCTCATGGCCGCTCGGCAGAAGATGGTACAGTACGACTGCTAGCCATCCTCATCTCTTGCCTGCCCGGCAGAAGATGGTACAGTACGACTGCTAGCAATCCGTATCGCCTGCCTGCTCACCATAAGATGGTTCAATAGGACTAACTGCAGGACTAAAGAGAATGGCCTGGTCAAGTCACTCCAAATTTAGTCCCTGCGCCCATGTCTGTCCAGGCACTCCCAGCCGACGTGGCCAGGAGCACTTCGGACATGATGATGACGGCTACCAGTCGTACTGTACCGTCTGCTGCCACAAGGCAAGGGGTTGCTGCTACTGTGTAGCAATGCCGTACCGCGTCTGCCAGCACCCAGGAGACATAGGGTGACGGTTACCTGAGCGGGCTCCATGCTTGCCGTGGTATGGCGTCTGCACAGGTAATTCAGGAAAAAAGGCGCAAAATGATTGTCTGCCCTTGCTTTCACGGAGGGAGGGAGGGAACGGGGGCCTGACAATATGTACCCAGAACCACCCGCGAGAATGTTTTAGCCCCATCAGGCATTGGGATCTCAACCCAGAATTCCAATGGGCAGCGGAGACTGCGGGAACTGTGGGATAGCTATCCACAGTGCAATGCTCCGGAAGTCGACTCTAGCCTCGGTACTGTGGAAGCACTCCGCCGAGTTAATGCACTTAATGCACTTAGAGCATTTTCTGTGGGGACACACACACTCGAATATATAAAACCGATTTCTAAAAAACCAACTTCTATAAATTCGACCTTATTCCATAGTGTAGACATACCCCTAGTGTAGACCAAAGCTTGGAAGGGGGATTGGCAGAGCACCAGATTTGGAGGAGTGCAACGGCGAGCTTTACACCACATGTGTTTTGTACATGCTGATCAGCATTCTGTGCAGTTTAGTTGCTCCTCAGGATCTGTCTCTTAATTTGTTCATAGTTTGTGGAATGTCATACCTGACCACGTTGTCTTCTCTTCTCTTTTTTTTGGTAATCGTACGGGCTTTGTGGATTATGGAATGAATGAAGGAATTGATGCTAGGGAAAGTAGAGCTGGCAGGGGGAGTGGGGTAGGAAATTCTTGTTACAGGACCCTCTGACAGTCAATGTGCTAGACAGCAATGGATTTGCTTCTGGGGGGAACTATGTTCCCAACTTTCCAGCCTGATGTTAAAGCTTCATTAGAACTGGCTAAAGAGAAAGGGTAGTAGGTATGAAAAGGATATAAGTATGAAAAATATTAGAACTGTAATTCACCTGCTTTATTTTCATTACAGGAATTTAACAAGCTGCAACAAAATATATTTCAATGTAATCGTTTTCAAAAATACTGCTGGTTTGTGTTTTAATGGGGATTTTTTCTATGCTCAAGAGATACCAGCATCATCAAATGAAAAGATTGTGTGTCCTCATCTAGACTATTTCAGAGATGAGAAAAATACTTTACCCATTCACTGGTATAAGGTATAAGACCATGTGGGGTCTGTCCCCTATTTCATTTTCAGCAACTGTTTTGTGTTTTAACTGATGTTTAGAATTGGTAATGGAGGGTGGGGAGAAAGAATAGATCATATGACTTTTTTTTCTGTGACATGGGATGTACATGTGAGGAGACTTGTGTGTCACGGTGAAATTACTATAATAAAGTGTAGATAAGCATGTCTATTTTAGCTGCCCACATGACACGCAAGGGGCCTATTGTTTTGAAGGTGATTTCATCTTCCCCTTCCCTCATATCGAACAAAAAAGGGGACCTTAACAACATATATACGTAGTTACATAGTAGGGTGATGGTGTTCTTGAAGAGGCTGGCCTGATGTGTAGCCAGACTTCAGTGTGAGTTGAGGATGCTGAGCCCATCGCAGCACTGAGTCCTGGCTTGGTAGACCCATGTGGCTGTGCGGAGCTTACTGCAGAATCAGACCCTAAATGAGTACCTGCTGTGCACAAATGACTTAAATTCTGCCTATGGTGTATTAGGAGGAAAATAGGGGAAAAAAAACCCTCGGTGATGTTTTAGTTTTAACTGGGGCTGTCAAGTGATTAAAAAAGTTAATTGTGATTAATCACATTGTTAATCAAAGAATAACATTTATTTAAATATTTGTGGATGTTTTCTACATTTTCAAATATATTGATTTTAATTACACAGAATACAAAGTGTACAGTGCTCACTTTATATTTTTTATTACAAATGTTTGCACTGTAAAAACCAAAAGAAATAGTATTTTTCAATTCACCTTATACAAGTACTGTAGTGCAATCTCTTTATCATGAAAGTTGAACTTACAAATGTAGATTTTTTTTGTTACACAACTGCACTCAAAAACAAAACAAATGTAAAACTTCAAAGCCTACAAGTCCACTCAGTTCTACTTCTTATTCAGCCAATCGCTAAGACAAACAAGTTTGTTTACACTTACAGGAGATAATGCTGCCCTTTTCTTATTTACAATGTTACCAGAAAGTGAGAACAGACATTTATTTGCATGGCAGTTTTGTAGCTGGCATTGCAAGGTATTTACGTGCCAGATGTGCTAAAGAGTCATAGTCCCTTCATGCTTCAACCACCATTCCAGGGGACATGCGTCCATGCTGATGACTGGTTCTGCTTGATAACAATCCAAAGCAGTGTGGACCGACGTATGTTCATTTTCATTGTCTGAGTCAGATGCCTCCAGCAGAAGGTTTATTTTTCTTTTTTGGTGGTTTGGGTTTTGTAGTTTCCGCATCGGAGTGTTGCTCTTTTAAAACTTCTGAAAGCACTTCCGATTCTTAAACCTTGGGTTGAGTGCTGTAGCTATCTTTAGAAATATCACATTGGTACCTTCTTTGCATTTTGTCAAATCTGCAGTGAAAGTGTTCTTAAAATGAACAACATGTTCTGGGTCATCATCCGAGACTGCTATAACGTGAAATATGTGCAGAATGCATGTAAAACAGAGCAGGAGACATACAGTTCTCCCCACAAGGAGTTCAGTCACAAATTTAATTAACCACATTATTATTTTTAATGAGCATCATCAGCATAGAAGCAGTCCTCTGGAATGGTGGCTGAAACATGAAGGGACATACAAATGTTTAGAGTATCTGGCACGTAAATATCTTGCAATGCTGGCTACAAAAGTGCCATGCAAATAAATATCTGTTCTCAATTTCTGATAACATTGTAAATAAGAAGAGGGCAGCATTATCTCCTGTAAGTGTAAACAATCTTGTTTGTCTTAGCGATTGGCTGAACAAGAAGTAGGACTGAGTGGACTTGTAGACTTTGAAGTTTTACATTTGTTTTGTTTTTGAGTGCAGTTGTGTAACAAAAAAATCTACATTTGTAAGTTCAACTTTCATGACAAAGAGATTACACTATGTACTTGTTTGAGGTGAACTGAAAAATACTATTTCTTTTGTTGATAATTTTTACGATGCAAATATTTGTAATAAAAATAATATACACTTTGATTTCAATTACAACACAGAATACAATATATATGAAAATGTAGAGAAACATCCAAAATATTTAATAAATTTTAATTGGTAGTCTATTGTTTAACAGTGCAATTAAAAGTGCAATTGTGATTAATTTTTTTAATCTCGATTAATTTTTTTGAGTTAATTGCATGAGTTAACTGTGATTAATCGAAAACCCTAGTTTCAACATAAAATTCATATTGAACCTAACTGGTGAAATTACCTTGCCCCATTCCATGGGAAGGAATATTTGAATTGGATATTTTTGGAGTACTGTATTCTTATTCTCTGTCTATGATTTAACAGAGCACTTTCTGTTGTGTTTAGGAATGTAATCTGATTGACAATGAAAGATTTCTAAATTGGAATGATGATCTCATAATAATTAGTGCGAATGTAAATGATTCAGGAAATTACATATGCAAAATGACATATAATTATATGGGAAAAGAATATAATATTTCACGAAACATTTATGTAACTGTTATAGGTAAGTCTTGTTTTTATTCTTCAGTGCATTTGTAGAGTTCAATGTTACTTTTTTTTGCAAATCCAGAAGTTTTGGTCAATTCATCGGTTAGTGTGGATTCAAAGGAATACCAAATTTGACCACTAAGATAATCGTTTGTTAGTAATTCTTATATAACTTTAAGGGAGAGCTAGAAGACTGAAAAACACTATTAATATTATTTTTGTTTGTTTGTATTACAATAAAATAAATAGAGACTCCAGTCAGGATTTGGGGTCCAGTTGTGTTAGGAGCTGTACAAACACACAGGAAAACACAGGCCTTGTCTGGATTAGTTTACAATATAAGGGCCTGTTCTAAACTGGGGATGGATGTACTGGTGTAACAGCACTGGTACTATATATTGAAGGTTTCAGAGTAGCAGCCTTGTTAGTCTGTATTCGCAAAAAGAAAAGGAGTACTTGTGGCACCCTTACAGACTAACCAATTTATTTGAGCATAAGCTTTCGTGAGCTACAGCTCACTTCATCGGGTGCATCCATGATGATACATAGGATGCATCCGATGAAGTGAGCTGTAGCTCACGAAAGCTTATGCTCAAATAAATTGGTTAGTCTCTAAGGTGCCACAAGTCCTCCTTTTCTTTTTATATATTGAAGCAAACTCCAGGGGGAATGCACTTCCCTGATGTAAAATGAGGCTTGCACTAGTGTGACTTCCCATGATTTGAAACTGGGAGCATTTGTATTGGTGCACGGCACTAATGCAAACCCCCCAGCGCAAGCTATTTTACACTGGTAAAGTGCATCTACGCTGAGGGCTTGCATCAGTGCAGCTGCACCAGTACGAACACTCTCAACACAGACAGGTCCTGATTTTAAGACTGGATGTGACAGTTGGGTTTAAGAAACAGTTGGAGGAAGGAAAATTGCAACAGGGATACGATCTGGTGGTCTAGCTAGTGCTCAATTTGATTGGCTAAATAATCCTCAGCTGAGGAGAGGAAAAGACTCTAAAGCCACCTTCCCACTCCCTTGATTCTGGGGATGAAAAAGCCCCTGTCCCAGGTGACCACTCCACCATGTACTCTGGCCCCACCTTTCCCTTGCCCAGGTGCTGCCCGCACAGAGTAAGGTGGGAGTGCATGGTGCAGAGTTAGCTTTGCCAGTTTTATACCAGGGCAATTTCTAACTGCTCTTTAAGAGCAGATTTTGGGCTGCCTTGGCCCTCAAAGCAGCACGAATGACCAAGATAGCAGCTGAAGATCTGGCCGGATGAGTTAGATTCATTTTTCTGTATGATCCCCTTTTCCTACTTTGCTGATTTGTGTTTTTATTTTTCCCCTTCTTAAAATTAAATACATCTTTATTCTTGTTCTTAAAACCTATTTTTGTAGCCATTACCTTTTCCACATTCTTAAAGTACTGTATTCACTGCACTTGACAGTTTTTCTAATAGTATTTAAACTGCTGCTTTCTCCAGTGTTTTCATGAGGTTATTTTTAATAATCACCACCTTTGTTTATTTACCCCTACATTTTTAAAGCTACTGCCTTTACTTATTTTGTATATTAATTTAAATAAAAAACCATAGTCAAAGTGACTCATCCTGTTACTTGGCTACTTCCCGTCCACTGCCCCTGCCAGTCACTGCTGTTTCCTAGTCAACAAAGTGTCTTTTAGGAGCACAGAATAGCCGCAGCCAATAAAAGCAGTAAGCACTGAAAGTCAGTGATTGCTGCTTGAAACCTGAATGTCCCAGGGAAGTAGAGGAACATGGTAAGGAGCAGGGATGTTGGAGGGACTATGCTGTGGATCAGGATGAAGGGGGAAGTGTATAGGGGCAGCCGGGGCATGGGGAGGGATGGGGGTGCTAAAGGGACATTGGAAGAGGAGTGCAGCTCTGTGGGTGGCTGGGGAGGGGGTGAAAGTTGGTTGGGAGAAGATGAGTATGAGAGATACTAGGTCTCTGCAGAGGGACATAATATATGTCAGCCGATAGTTACCCATGTGAATAACTCAGTGTTGACACATGTTAAAAATACACCTAGAAAGTTCCACACACAACACTTAATTAACTTTAAGTTAAGATTACCAGACTGTGCATCCGATCAACTCAAACTGCAAAAAAACAAAGAAATAAGCAGTTAGGACATTCAACCCCATATGCTCCAGTCATCAGTTGCCCTTCTGAACCTCAGCTACCTCTCTCCACCCTCACTCTGACCAATCAATGTGCATCCTTAATTCCAACCATAAATATAATGCACTATCACATGCAGATCTCAGTTTTGTAATTTCTATATAAAAATGACCGCCAGATTTAGAACAGTCATTAACACAGATCACCAACTCACATCGCTGTTCCTAAACATTATAGACGACTAATCTCACAGCCATCTTTGGCAATTTGATTCTCTCCTTTACTTCCTTACATATATCATTGCAGAGCCACACTAGAGCTACATGGAATGTAACATCTGAAAGCCACAGACAGTAACTCTGTATTAATCATCAAAACATCTGAACTTACAGGGATGAAGTTGAGGCTGCACATTTGTTCAAGGTGGAGATACGTGGCGTGTGAAAGGGAGGCTGAGAAGGGGAACTTATGAGTGGAATGTGAATTGGGTGTTTAAATGACTTAATAGCTTATTTCCTCTGGGTTTTTTTTAATGGTCAGAGTTGGTGAGAGATGCAGTCTAGCAACCTTAACTTGCTGTATTTGGTGTTTTTTCTTCTTAATATCCCCAGCTCAGGGAGTTATGAGTATGTGAGAATCTCTGCTTTTTGCACAAAAGTATGTTTCTAGCACTCATGAATGCAGAGAAGAACATGAAGATGCGACCCTAATGCACCCTGAAGGTTGCCAAACCAGAAGGCAAATAAAAAGTACTCAAAATTTCTTTTTTTTTTTTTTTTTAAATATCATTTTTAAGCCAATCTCTCAGTTATTTTGGTGCATTGCTTTTGAACACTTGGGTTGACAATTTGGTAAGACTGAGTTTACTTAATCCTTGGAGGGGGGAATATGTATAATAATGCTACCATTTGTAAAGCATTCTGGGATCCTTCAGGGCACAAAAAGACATGTAGTTACGTGTGAAATAGTGAAGAGGGACATAATCTGTGTCAGCTGATCGCTTCCCATGCGAATAGAGTCCACTTATTATTAGCAGCCCCTCTGTTTTCAGCAAAAAGTTGCTGCTGTTAGACAATTGCCAGTAAGTGGAAGGAGGTCTGCAGGGCTGCAGCCAGGGATGGAAGCGCTGGTACGTGCTGATCCTGGGCCCCAGAATAGGCCGCAGGTAGGGCAGCCGGGGGGAAGAGGGCTGCTGCCTGGATGCTGGGGCTTTCCATAGGAAGCGAGGGCACTGGGGGCCTGACCGGTACCTCTCCGTGAGCTCTCCAGGCTGCATCCTGCCCTGGCACTGGGGGCCCAGGCTCAGCACATCCCAGCATCCCCATAAGCCGTGGAAAGCCCTGGCTGCAGCCAGATGTGCAGGACTGCAGCCAGGGAAGGAAGCACTGGGGGATGCTGAGCCTGGTCCCCTTGTTTCAGGACAAAACACAGCCTGGAGAACGCAGGGAGAGGTGCCATGCAGTGCTTGGTGCCATGCCCAGTGCTTCCTTCCCTCTCTGCAGCCCTAGAGGGAAGCTCTTGGACATACTGAGCACTAGCTACAGACAGGTTTGTGAGGCTTCCACTCACAAAGACAGGATAGTGGGTCATTGGATGGACTGTTGGTCTGATGCAGTGTGGCCATTCTTATATTCTTCGGCAGTCTGGAAGGAGGCACTGGGACAGACTGAGCACCAGCCGCCGGTAGGTTGAGGGCCTACAGCTGGGGAAGACACATCCAAGTCCTTCCGACCGTGGCTGCAAACCTTCCTGCAGCTGTGGCTTTCCACAAAAACTGTTTTCAGTAGCTGATGTGCCTGTTGCCAGTATACAGACCAATTAACAAAATGTTTCTGCTAACCAAAAGTGGTTGTTCTCCAGGTTGTTACTAAGCAGTGTCTACTATACTGTTATTCACACCTGGAGCACTATAGCCATAATTGTAATGCTAAAGTGAATTTTAATTAACTAATGCTTTGCGGAGCCACTCTGGTCCAGGAGCTGTAGCGCTGGATTGGGTCTTCAGAGACCTGGGTTCTAATCCTGCCGCTGCTTGGCTTGGGGCAAGTTGCTTCACTTCTGTTCCTCTCTCTGCCCTATACCTGTCTTGTCTGTTTAGATCATAGAGTCTTTAGAGGAAAGGATTGTCTCTTACTATGTGCCTGTACAGTGTCTGACATGCTGGGGCCTGTGGGAATAAGAAATGTGATGGAGTGGCATAGTTTAAAGGTTTTATTAGTATAAGTTTGGGCTGACCCTGTCATCCATCACAAATTAAGCACAACTGTTTGACAAGAAAACTGTTCTGATTTTTCTACAAAACTGATATTTTTAAGGTATTTGCAAGTATTTCTGGTATTTAACTTGATGTAGTGAATCTTTTTTTTTTTGGGGGGGGGGGGGGGGGAGGTGGTCTGGATTAAGTAGAGAACTGTTATCCTGGACACCACAAATAAGGATGGAGCGGGGAGAGTGAAGGGTTGTTGATATTTTGGGATACTGTAACTGTTAATGTGTTTTACCTCTTCCCCTGCTTTTCTCGGTCTGTTTGTTGTTTTATGGAAGTTCTTCAGAAAGAAAAGAACAAGCAAACGCAAAACAAACATATAGAAACATACTTTCTGAAAAAGTTTGAGGTTCTTTTCATTGCAAAGGAACAGTAAGGGCTACAGGCAAAAGTTTTGTGTTCTTGTTTTGCAGTTCATCTATAAACCACTCCTGCTTGTTAGTGGTATTTCTAAACTAGTGCTGTACTAAATATCCTTGCCATTACTTTTGATTATTTCTGATAAAATTTTGTATTTATGCATGTGCTTTTGTTTTTTTAAAATTTTTAGAGACCCCACTGAAGAAGAAAACTGAAATTCTTTATCCAAGAAACAATACAATTGAAGTGGAACTTGGTAAGAAATGGGCTCATCGCACATTATAAAAATTGAGAGTCTTTTGTCTCATTGTCAATTCATAACCCCTTTATTATGGTCCTCAGACTTCTTGAGTCTGGGAAACCTTTCCTGTATTTTCCCAAAATTCATTGAACCTCCATTTACATTATTATTATTTTATTATTATTTTTTAAAGGGGATAAAGGGGTGGTTCCTCATCTATCTCCTGTCAATCATCTTGGGATTGCTAAAAAGGCTGAGGCTCCGGCTGGACTTCTTACATGGCTGAAGTAGCAGCTGCAAAGTGGTCGATTTGATATCTTTTGACCATCCTACATAAATATTGAGTAACTTGCAGTGAAGAGGGTAAAGGGGAGGTTCAGAAAAGGGCAATGAGAAAAATTAGGGATGGGGAAAAATTCTTAGTGAAGCAAGATTGAATAGATTTTGATTGTTTACCTTAGAAAGGAGATGAACAAGAGGGGACTTGATAGACGTCTTCCCCACAAGCAAATGAAACCCCACCCTGCTCCAAGCAGAATTTTGATTCCAAAAAGGGAAAAGTGCCAGAGACTGCATGGTCTGCTTGGGACTGTACTACTGCTATTGATTTCGTGTGGAAGATGTTCAGATGCCATGTTGAGGGGCAGCAATATAAAACCCGAAGACAGATAAAAGTATATACAATAATAAATTATATCGAAGGTAGTAGCTTCTGCCCTTCTCGTCTCCTAACACAATGAGAAGTCTTTCGATTAAAGTAAAAAAGTGGCAGATGCGAAACTAAGTGCTTTTGGCACAACATGTAATTAGATTGTAGAACTTGCTGTCACAGGAAGTCTTTGAGCCCCAAATTTAGCAAGGTTCAAAAACTGTTTTGGATGTTGATAGAGAGAGCCACACTTTTTACAGTTAATGATATGATTAAGAAGAATAGCCACACTTTTTTACAGTTCATGATATGATTTATTTTGGACAGGATATTAAACCCCATGCTTCAGGGCTTTAGCCCATGTCTAACTATTAGAGATCAGGATGAAACCCAGTGTGGAGGGCAGCTTATTTCACATCTTCCTACCACAGGGTTCTTATACTTCCCTCTGAAGCATCTGGCACTAACTTTTGTCAGAGGTAGAGCACTGTACTAGATGGACCTCAGATCTGATCCAATGTGGCAATTCCTATGTTCTTAAATACTTTCTAATGAATTGGGGTGGGGGGATCTATGTCCCTTTCCCAAATGCCAGGGGCTCCCACCCTGATTCAGTGTTTCATGTTTCACCTTCCAAGGCTTGCCTTTAAAAGGGACTTGAAAAGGGGGCTGGGGAGAAAGGATAAGTGATGTTTTTCCTGCTTTGAGAAGTCTAAACAAATCCCGGTAATATGTTTTCAAATTTAAAAATAAAAACCCGATAGAAGCTGGGACTGGACTTGATAATTGCCCAGCTCTGTTCTCTTCCTCTGAAGCATCTGTTGCTGACCACTTTTGGAAGACAGGATACTGGGTTAGATGGACCATAGGTCTGATCCATTATGGCCATTCTTATGTTCTTAACCAAACCTGCATTTTTGTATCTTTTTAGACTGTCCAGTCGTGTCTTTCCTGTCTGTGTGTGTGTGTGTGCGTATGTGTGTGTGTGCGTGCGGGGGGGAGGGGAATAGGAAAGAATGGAATGGGATTCGGAACCAGATTCGCTTGCAGACTGAGATGTGCGTTGTGATCTTTCTCAGCCCTTAAGTGAAGAGCTGGGGAATGTCGAAGCTTTAACAGATTTTTTTTTCCCATTAGATCTTCAAATCTTTATAGGATGTTTTACTTAAATAGATGTTAACAAAAACAAACATAACAGAGTTTTAAACTGCCTGGATAAATGCCACTCCTTTCAGGCCCTGATCCTACAAACACTTATTCACATGAGTAACTTCACACATGTTTTTACTGGATTGGGCCTTAATCAAATTTCCCTTGCTTGTATTTGGAATATCATAATTCTACCAGTTTTCCAATTGTTCGTAGAGTCAGGGAAAATAAAGCAGGCAAGACTTGAATTTCTAATGTTTAAGGGTTTTCCCCCCCTTTTCTTTAAACAAACCCTCACTTCATGTCACCTTTGTCTGTTGAAAAGAAACAACAAAGGCACAAATCTATGTGTTTTCCTTTGTGGGTCACCTTTAATCCTAGAAATGGAAAAAAATGAAATGCTTATCACAAATAAAATTCAAGCAAAAATTGTATGATTAACAACAACAAAAAAAAGTCACTGCTTTTGTTGCTTCATGTCCTGTATGCTGTTTGGCTTATGAATTCTTTAGGGCAAGACCCTTTACTCCTGAGGCAGTTGTGCGCCACTGTACATGCTCAGAATTCATGTTCCGTGCAGAGTTTTTTCCCCGCAGTAAATACATTCTGCCCAAGAAGTCCTGCAGTTCTGCCTTTTGCCTACAAGAGGCCGTTGTGGCACCAGAACAGCTGGCTGACTGGCATTAACAGCTAGCAGTCAGCTGTGTTCATTACAGCAGCCTGCTGGTGGAGCCAGAGTGGGGCATATGGGGTTGCTGGGAGGGTCATGGACTGGGGTCCAGAAGGGCTAATGGGGAGCACAGGCTGGGACTTGGGTTCAGGAGCTAGTTGGCTGACAGCATTGAGCCAGGGCCTGAATGGGAAGGGGCTCCAGCGCCATATGATGATGGGGGATAGGAGGGCTATATGGGGATGGGGGTAGATGTGCCTTACTGAAGGGGAGAGACTTGGGGTCAGCCAGGGTCTGCATGGGAGAGGTTCCCCAACTCCCTAAGAATCCCCCCACCCAAAGAAACTGTTCCATACTTTTCCCACCCACACCCAACAACCCTACGAGTTCAATCCAAGGCTCCTTCCTGCTCCCTCATCTCCTCTGTTACCCTCGACTCCCCCAAGTCTTTGCACTGCTTCTGTGGGGTGCAGAAATACAGTTCTGTGTTGTAGTTTAAATGAATTGCTCAAAGTTCTGTATTAATATGCCTATTAAGGAATCTATTTGTCAAAAAAAAAACCATTTCCTGAATCTTTTTTTTTTGTTTTGTTATCTGTATTGTTACAGACATACTTGCTGACAGGTATTTTGAAATAAATTACCAAAAATAATTGCAACTGGTGTGTTTATACTGTGTTATTTTGACAAATAAAATGTTCAGAATTTTGCAGAATTTTAAAATACCGTGTACAGAATTTTTAGGTGCAGAATTCCCCCAGGAGTAAGCCCTTGTCTTCATACTTTTGTGAAAAAGCATTTAGTTCTCTTTTGGTGCTATACCATCCATAATAAAAAGTGGTTCTGGAATTCTACTTTCAACAAATATGATGTTTTGTCTTCTACAATAAGAGTCTGTCCAGCACACTTCAAGAAAATTTTTGCAGGATAAAGAGCAACTGATTTTGTCCTAGTGATCTGCTGATCTGGACCAAATGTAAAAAATGACAAGGGTTGTGATATATTTAAACCTCTCCTAATTGTTGTGAATGGAAGAGTTTTGTATTCGTTCTTTTATGAATTTTCTACTTTGACCTTTTCAAGCTTCGCACTGAAGCCATAAACCTGAGAGAACATTATTTCATCCATAGATGTGTCAAATTTAAGAAGCAATTATGGTCATTTTGTTCAAAATAGAATTAACATATTTATTCTCTGGAGGGATTAATTTACTGGGCTCTTTATAATTTGCTAGGTTAGCGCTTGTAAAACAGCTGATGGTCTGACAAGGGATCTTCATAATTCTGCAAACTCCCTCCTTCGTTCTGTCAGATTACTCTTTAGATGTTTACTGGCGTTGGTTGCTAATGTTTCCCATGTTCCTTTACATGAGTGGATCTCATGACTTTGCAGAGTAAACGATATCTCATGGCCATTTTCTAATGCTATTTTTCAGGGTCCAGTGTTATCGTGGACTGCAACGTATCAAGTTTTAAAGATAGTTCAATTGGTATATCCTGGAAAGTCAATAATACTTTAGTCAATTTTTTGTTTATGGGGAGAGTTCAAGAGGGAAATCAGTAAGTATACTTGCATATAAAAATGCATATCAGTTGATCACTGACTGCAATGTATGACAATACCCTTAGTGTTTGTAATGCCTTTCTTTGCTTCCAAGGAGGGATCCTAATTCTGTGTTTCTTAGAGACCAATTTGGACAACTAGTATCCTACTAAACTTCAATGGAGTCTAGGAGAAAAAATAACATGGATACTTCGGAACATATTGCTTTACAAAAAAATCTGTTCACTGGGCAAGGCACCACTCAGGGGCTATAACCCCCAAGCATCACCAGTTTGCATTGGTTCTCCCCCTTCCCCCAAAGAAAAATATTCCTGAAAATTAAGCGTATGAGCTACTGAAGCAAATCTGTCCAACAGCTTCATATGGAAACCTCATGTGCTTTTTAGAAAGTAGAATACTAGCAGTTTTGCCAACCCTGAGAGGTCAAAAATCATGAGTTAGGTTCTCCAAAATAGCAAAATTGTCTCAAAAAATCATGAGATTTATAAACATAGATTTGGGGTTCTTTCTATTTGCCTTTTGGTTTTTGGGGTGCACTTGGGTCAGATTTTTAAGCTTTTCTCTTCAACTATGAGGGCTAGAAATGTTTTCTTTTTAAATGAAGACTGAGATTCTCAAGAAATTATTCAGTTACATGAGCTGAGGCTTTCAGAAAAATGCCAAATATCATGAGACTTTGTAATAAAATCGTAGAAATTATAGGGTAGGGAAGAGACCTTGAGAGGTCATCTAGTGCAGCCCCCCTTGCTGATGGAGGACCTAGATCAGTGGTGGGCAGCCTGCGGGCCACACGAGGCCCATCAGGGTAAACCGCTGGTGGGCTGCCAGACAGTTTGCTTACATTTGCACGGCCACCTGCAGCTCCCAGTGGCTGCGGTTTGCTGTTCCTGGCCAACAGGAGGTGCGGGTGGCTGTGCAAACGTAAATAATCTATCTGGTGGCCTGCCAGCGGGATTACCCTGACAGGCCACATGCAGTCCGCAGGTTGCCCACCACTAACCTAGACCATCCCAGACAGGTGTTTGTCTAATCTGTTGTTAACATCCTCCAATGATGGGGATTCCACAACCTCCCTTGGTACTCTATTCCAGTACTTACCTAATATACAAATAGAAGGTTTTCCTACTATCTAACCTCAATCTCCTTTGCTGAAGATTAAGCCAATTACTACTTATCGTAGCTTCAGCGGGCAAGGGGTACAATTGCTCAGCATCCCCTTTGTAACAGCCCTGACTGTGTTTTGAAGACTGCTACCAGATCCCACCTCAGTCTTACTTTCTCAAGACTAAACATATCCCGGTGTTTTTTTAACCTTTCTTCATCGGCCGTGTTTTCTAAACCTTTTATTGTTTTTTGTGGGCTTTCTTCAAATTGTCCACATCTTTCTCAAAGTGTGGCTCCCCAAACTGGATACAGTATTCCAGCTGAGGCCTCCCCAGTGCCAAGTAGTGTGGAACAATTAGCTCCTGTCACTTACATACAACACTCGTGTTGATGCACCCTAGAATATTAGCCTTTTTTGCAACTGCATCACATTGTTGGCTCATACTCAATTATGTCTACTGCTTTCCCTTTATCCACTTTGTCAGTAACCTTGTCAAAGAAGGAAATTAGGTTGGTTTGGTGTGGTTTGTTCTTGACAAATCCAAGTTGGCTATTACTTATCACTGTCTTATCCTCTATATGCTTACAAATCGATTGTTTGAAATATGAGAGTTGGCAGCACTGTCATAGAATTGCCTCATGTCTTTCTCACTGGGCAATGATAGCATGAATAAGATTCTTACATGTATGTAAATCTAGTCTATTTTGATTGAGAGCTCCTAGTGCTATCTCATTATGTGTCTACACATGAGGCCATGCTCTTGACTGGAGCTGCGAGGTACATCTATAATTCAGATAATTTATAATCATAGACTCCAGATATCTGTCTGTTTTGAAAAGATTCAGGCACATTTCAGACATGTCTGAAGATAAAATATAACCATTGTCCTGTTTTGTTTTCAAATGAAGAAACCTGCCTAATGCCACTTTTATTATTTTAATTATTCATTACCTTTTTGGATAGAGAAGATTCTTTTCCCGATGGGTACTTATTCTCTACAGTGACACTCAGCATCACAGAAGTGAAGCAGGAGGATTATGGACGTCAGTTTGTGTGTCATGCCGGTGAAGTTGCAGCCTACATTGCATTAAGACAGTCAGGTCAGGCCTTCAGTCTTAATAATGTTCTGAACTGCTCTTGTAGTCAGGACTTAATTTAAAAAAGAGATGAGGTGAACACTTTGAAAAGGGACAGACAAAGGGTGTGTGAAAATTTGGGATAATGGGCAGGAAAGAGGCTATAAAATCATTGTCAATCGTGGAGTAGCTTAATTAATGTCAAAGGAGTTACTATAGATTTACTGATCGGATTATTCACCAAAACATCAGCGGTAAGGCAGATGGAGTAGAATACATAAGGAAAAGCAAATTCTGAATTTGTACCAGACATCTGGGTCTGAAAGTGGTGCTTCTCCAGCCAGAGAACCAAGCGTTCTGTGCTTCCATGTGTCCAGTCAAGACAGCATAAATTTCAAGTATTGAATACCTTCAATGAACTGCTTACAAACAAGCTGTAGAACTAGAATTATTTGTCATCAATTATTTGGAATAATGAATACATTCAAGAAAATCACAATCAGTTTGCAGATAATTCATGAACAGAAAAAGAGGAGAGAGATGTCAGATTTTTGTTATCAATTATTCACAGTTATAACTGTCTTTAGGCAGCTTAAAAGGGCTCTAATTTCAGAATTCTACACAATTTTGTTTGAATGTTCCTAACTTGACCAGTGCTACCACTTCAATATATTACATATTTTTCCTTTGCTGATGTAGTTCGAAATTTTCAAGGATACTTGACTGGAGGACTCCTTGCACCAGTGTTTGTAATAGTTGTTGTCATATTAATCTACAAGTATTTCAAGGTTGACATTGTGCTCTGGTATCGAAAATCCTGTCGTCCTTTTCTGAGTAAAGAAGGTAGGTGTGTATAGCCATGTAGCTAATGTACATGGCATAGAATCCTAGGATTCATTAAGAATTCTTAAGTGAATAAGAAGCTACATTTATTTTGTGTAGCCTTTTTAAGGGGGAGCGGATGCAGGAAATGTCCCTGAATGAGCAAGCTTGTTTGGAATTTCCGTCTGTGTGTTGTGTTGTGTTTGCAATATGGATGATGAAAAGATTGAGTACCAGATTTTTAAAAGGGCTTCTACTCAGTGTCCTTTTTTGCAGACACAGTCTTTTCCAATGTATTTTACACACAGTCAGTTAAGAGTGCAAATCCTCTCTTTTAGATGCTGAAGTACTTCAGTATGGCCATCTTAGGCCTGGGCTACACTGCGGGGGAGGTGGTTCGAACTAAGATACGCAACTTCAGCTATGCTGTTCGCCTAGCTGAATTCAAAGTATCTTATTTCGACTTACCTGGCCTTCCTCACGGCGGCAAGTCGACCGCGGTGGCTCCCTGATCTACGCCGCTTACTCCTCCTGCCAAGGTGGTGTACAGGCGTCAATTCGGGGATTGATTTATCGCGTCTAGACGAGACGTGATAAATCGATCCCCGATAGATCGAGCTGGCAGGTAGTGAAGACGTACCCTTAGTGGTGTCATTTTTATTTGTATTGTGATAGTACCGAGAAGCCCAGAGACCTCTTGTGCTAGGCTCTGTACAAACATATAGCAAAATGATGATCATCTCTGCACTGAATAGTTTACAGTGTAAGACTCCATAGACAACAGGTGGATATGATGAACAGTGAAGGGGAACACAAGGTACCAATGGAATGATACTGGTTAGCATGATAAGCAGTGGTCACAGAACACCGCTATTCTAATCATTGTCCAGTGTAAGTATCATAACAGAGATGGAGGGGTTTGAAGGAGGGCAATGCAGTACTTTTGTAGATATTGATATGGCTCTCCTATGAGGCATAAGGACAGGATGGGAGAAAGTATGCTTGTTGGAAAACATTATAATTTTAACTGTAAGATGTGAAACTACGATTCGCTGAAGGTGAAAAAAAAATATGGGTGAAGTCTTTGAAAGTGCAAAATGTGCTCCAACAAAAAAGGAAGTCTGCTATTTTAAAATCTGGGCTTAGATGCACTTTGAACAGAGAGTGTGAAATGCCTTATATATGTAAGCTATCAGACGTTGGCTCGTGTAGGTAGTAAAGCAGATATGTAAATCTGCTAGAAACATAAACCTGAAAAAAGGTTTATCTGCTCTCTGCTTTGCAGGGAAACTCTTTCTAACTGCGAGACATGCATACTACAGAATACTTATATCTGCAGAGCAGGTCTTGTAATGAAAGGCTGATGTCACCAAGAGCTACTGCTGCAAGAGCTACATTGACAAGGTGACAATGTGATAAGGTAGTTTATTGCTCAGTGTTAAAACAGAAATCAGGGTAGTTCTCAACCTTTCCAGATGACTGTTCCACTTTCAGGGGTCTGATTTGTCTTGCATACCCCACGTTTCACCTCAGTTAAAAACTCTGGCTTCGGCTTCAGCACCGCATGGTAGGGCTTGAGCTTCGGCTTTCTGCCCTGGGCCCCAGTGAGTCTAATGCTGGCTCGGGAGACCCCATTGAAATGAACTCCCAGTTTGAGGATCGCTGATATAGTATATAGAGCAGTATAAACATGTCCTTGTCTGTATGAAATTTTAGTTTGTACTGACTTAGCTAGTGCTTTTTTATGTAGCCTGTTGTTAAACTAGGCAAATATCTAGATGAGTTGATGTACCCCCTGGAAGACCTCTGAGTACTCTCAGGGATGCGCATACCCCTGGTTGAGAACCACTGTGCTAAGGCAGCAGTGAAGAACTTCTAGCCAGCCCTGCAACTCTTAGTATTTTTCATTCTAGATAGGTAGTAAAATAGTAAATTTGGGCAATTTTTAAATTTGCCTGAATAATTAAATGCAATTATGGTGGTATTTTTTGCAGCATTTAACAAAGATTACTTTATTATTAACCTGTGGTTATTTGTATGTTCTATTCAAACAATTATCTCATGCAATAAAGTTTAAAATAGAAAAGGTGGGAAAATATTCTTCTTCCTTTAAAATAATTTTTGTCTTACAAATCTCACTGCTTCTGTCTTGTTCAGTTTCAGATGGGAAGATCTATGATGCATATGTATTTTATCCAAAAATCAACAAAGTAGATTGCATCTACCCACCAGATAACTTTGTGCTAACGCTGCTTCCTGAGGTCTTAGAGAGACAGTGTGGATATAATTTGTTTATACTTGGAAGAGATGATCTACCAGGAAAAGGTAAAATGAAAAATCATGGTATTCTCTCATTGCCTTTAAAGTAGAACTGGGTGAGTTTTTTCATCATTCTCTTTAAATACTAGAGCAGGGTAGGAAAGTTTTACATCACTGTGGTCCCATGGGTCACATCATGACACAGAGGCAGGAGATTAAGGCAACAATTTTTATAATAGTAATTTCCGAAATATGGATGCTCTGAAATATTTTAAATTGGAACTAGGTTGGAATGGAACTACTAGTGGGAGGAGAGGCGGCCACTTGGCAACAAAACCCAATGTGTCTCCAAGCTGAACTTCAGTAGAGAGAGGTCAAGGGAAGAGAATAGCTTGCCTAAAGGTTTTGGATACTACACCTAGAAAGGGGAAGGTTCAGGGTTCCTCTCCCAAGCAAAATTCATGTAATACTTCACACCCAATCTTCTCTTAATTCCTGCTTCAGGTTAAGTATTGGCAGCATTCCCCATAGTCCCTGAATTCTCAGTGCTTCAAGAAGGGCTGGTTCTAGCACTGTGTCCTATGTGTGACTGACCAAAAGCATTGGTCCTGGCAGGATATACTCTCCTCTTCTATCTGATTCTTGTATTGGTTTCATATTTTTGTTATCCCATCTCTGGTTTTCTCTCTCTCTCCAATGTTTTTTGTCCTGTTGTCCCTCCTCTGCAGTCTTCCCCTGATCCCTCATTTCCTTTCATTTCAGATTTGATTTTCCTTTCTCTCTTTATTTCCTCTTCCCCCATCTCATGTTTCCCTTTCATTTTTTCATCTCCTCCATGGGTCCTTCAGTTGCACCGTTTTGTTTGTAGGGGGAACTTCATTGCTGGCCCCACTTGCCCCACAATACAGACAAACCCTTGAAATTTTGGGTATCTTTGCCTCTTTCTGAGAATGTTCAGTGAAGTTTGCTTCCACTTACCCTTTTCACCTTTCCCTGTGACATACTCCACCTTTTCCCCATACCCTGTAGATAACATGAGACTGCTGCTGCTTGTGCTCCCATGTGATGGGCTTTACACATCTCCCACTAGGTGGCACTCTGCTCCTAAATCTCTCTGCAATATGTCTGTGGGCAGAGTTCGGAATAGAGTGTTTTTGGCATCATAGGAGCAACTCTTTCTTGTTCCACTTTTCCTAGTCTTAAAGGTAAGAGCAGTGCTCTGGGAGGGAGGAAAGGCTAATCTGCTAGTGATCTCAGAGAGGGCGAGAGATCTGGTATGATATAGAACATCAAGAAGTTGATTGGTTTTAGTACAATAAAACCTAACCAGTTGGTACTGGATGTTTGTTCTTTCTAATACTTCTGCACTATCCCATTTGCTTACTATAGAAAAGACATTTTTTCACTGTTAACATGTTCTTATTTTGTACTGTATATTTACATTTATATTAAAACATCAGAATAAAAAATTGCTTCTGAGGTAATTGATTTTGAAATATGGCTATAAAGCAAAATGGATTTTTTTTGTTACTAGTTATAATTGTAGAATTCATATTTCTTAAAGAAATCTTTAAATAGAGAGAATTTGTTTTTAGTAACATTTTTAATTGATTTTCATCTGGGGTAGTGAAAAGTAGCAATAAACATTATTCTTTGAGTGCTGGCCCCTATGTGTATTCCACTGTGGATATGCATTCACTCAATGCACCCGGAGCCAGAGAACTTCGAAAGCAGTGTCTGTTGGTCCACACACACATGCCCCGAGGCTTACCTCGTGCCTCTGACTGAGGAGGTAAAGGGCAAGGCGGACCGACTGCGTCTCCATATCCTTCTCACCATGGTCCAGCTCAGAATCTCTAGAGTCCAAAGCTTTGGCTTTCTCTTTTATTTATTAATAGATATCTGTCAATAGTTTTTATAGTTCTAGAATTTTAAAGTTTTTATCTGATAGTTTTAATGTTTTCTGGTTATTTAGTCAGTCTCTCCCGACCTGGAGGGCACCCCACCACCCCCCCAATTTGGGTACTGGACTATGCCCAGAACTCTGGGCTTCAAAATTTGTGCTTCCTCCCTGCAATCCTTCTCAGTCAGTGACGACCACCAATGCTACATGTGCTGCCTTGGGGGAGTCCACATCATGGCAAGGGCAGGAACTTTGCCACAGGAAGCACCTAATGGAAAATGCCATGAGGCAGCAATCAGACGTATGCTGGGGGTGGGGGAGTCCCCCAGCCCGGATCAGCCTGATTCTGAAAAGAGTGCACCTCCTGCCATGAAGTCTGACTCAGGAGCAAAGAAGTCTATCCCCACAGATCCCTTGATGGGGTCTTGTTGGGAGAGTAGGGAGCATTCTCATGAGCATTAGGCTAAGTCCTTTTCCAAATCCTCTTTGAAGAAGTCAGATTCAGCCCTGACTAAACCGAGCAAGTCTATAAGCTCAGCCCCAGAAAACCTAGTAAGTCCTATGTCTTAGAGCTATGACAAGGAAACCTACAAGTCTAGGGCTCCGTTGGCACCAGATCGCAATCTGTCAGCTGCAGACCACTAAGTCCAACATCTCCCTATTCCCACACACCTTTTGAGGTTGTTTAGCACTCTTTTTCAACAGCTGGAGTACAGTGGATAAATGGGTGCTGAACATCATCCATTCTGTCTGTACGATAGAGTTTATGTCCCTTCCCCCTCCAAAACTTCCTTCCTCACCCCCTCTTGGGGGCCACTCTCATGATAAGATTCTCAAAGTGGAATCCCTCTTTCAGTGGGAAGCGATAGAGAAGGTTGCTCTTTAGTACCAAGGGTGGGGGTTTTACTTGACATACTGGGGTCAGACTATATCCTCTCAAAGAATCCCAAAATGGATCTCTGACTGTTTAATTCCCCCCCCCCACACACACACACACATAGGGTAAGAGCTCATTCCACAAGAGTGCAAGCAGCATCTCTGGCATCGCTTCAAGAGATGCTGCTACTTTATACCTGCAAAGCAGTTACAAGGAGCTCCATCCACGTTTGTGAGACACTATGCCTTGGTACAGGACTCCTCTGCCGATACATCTTTTGGAATCACAGTCCTTCATTTGGCTCTGCCATCTACAACCTCTCACCCTCCTCCTATCTGAGTACTGCGTGTCAGTCACCCACAGTGAACGCCCATAGGGACTAGCACTTGAAGAGAAAGTTACTTACCTTTTAGTAACTGGAAATTCTTCAAGATGTGTAGTCCTATCTGTATTCCTCTACCTGTCCTCCTTCCCCTCTGCTTTGGATCTTCTGTGATTTGCGGTGGAGAAGCAGGGCCATCCCTAGCTATTCTGGGACCCTATGCAGCCCCCCCGTAGGGGGGGGCGGTGGTTGTGGGGCCCCAGTCCTCCGCTTGGGGGAGGAGGGCCTGGCACCAGGCCTCTGTGGGGGGCAAGGCTGTCTTGGGGGGCAGGTGGGACCCGCCCCCCCAGCACTCACTGGCAGCACGGCTGGGTCCAGGTCGCTGCACTTCCCGCCGCTGGTGAGTGCAGGCCCAGCCCTGCTGCAGAGTCCTCAGGGGAGTGGGGGTGGAGCGGGGAGGCGGAGCAGGTGTGGGGCCATGGGGAAGAGGTGGAGCAGGGGCTGGAGCAGCATGCAGCTGCGCAGGGCACCAGGAAATTTGGTGCCCCAAATTTCCTGGTGCCCTATGCAGCTGCTTACTTTGCGTATGGGTAAGGACGGCCCTGTGGAGAAGGAACTGGAGAAGCAGTTGGTCCACCCCACCCTTTATCTCCTCGGTCGGTGGCACAAGGTGAGCCACGGCACATGTGCGGACCAGCGGACACTGCTTTCAAAATTCTCCAGCTCTGGATGCATGCAAAATATGCGTATCCACAGTAGAATACAGATAAGGGCCGCACATCTTAAAGAACCTTCAGTTACTATAAGGTAAGTAATTTTGCATGGATTAAAAACAAAAACAAAAAAATCAGCTGTATCATTAAAGTGTGGCCTAGAGTGCACATCTAAAAATGTTACCAGCATAGCTATGTTGGTAAGGTGTATAGTTTTCTTGCCACCAAAAACCTCTCTAATGTTGACACAATTATATGTGTATAAAAGTGTGTGTATAGCTTATTTTGCTTCTCTACTGGAATATGCTATGCTGGCATAGACACTTTATACCAGTATAACTGTGTATATATTAGAGGGGTTTTGCCACTTTAATTATGCTGACATAAGAAAAAGTAAATATCTATTTTTAATGGGGGGAGAGAGATTCTTTTGTATGAGCTAAAAGTTAATCAGTCATTCTGTGTGTCTTTTACAGCTGTGGTCAGTGTTGTTGATGAAACCATTAAACAAAGCAGAAGGCTTATAATTGTATTAGTACCAGAATCATCAAGTTGCAGTTTATTAGAGGATATCTTCGAACAGCAACTGGTTGTGTACAATGCTCTTGTCCAGGACGGAATTAAAGTTATTCTGATTGAGCTAGATAAAATAAAGAACTATACGAACATGCCAGAATCAATCAAATACATTAAACAAAAGCATGGTGCCATCAGATGGAAAGGGGACTTCACAGAGAAATCCTATTCAGCAAATACAAAATTTTGGAAAAATGTCAGATACCAAATGCCATCCAGATGTCCAACTTCTTCAGAACTACACTTGCTGCCAACAACCTTGAACAGCTTTCAAACCACAGAAAGATGAGGCATATGTCACTTTAATGGCCCTGGGCAGCTCCATTTCTAATGCTGTTTTAATGGATTTTATTAGAATGCTGATTGTGTACATGGTAAATGGATGATTTCACTTAAAGCCTTTCAGGATTGCATTCACAGGTTAGAGAAAACTAATTAATTATCATTCCACTGTGCAGAGCTAGCCAGCAGGACACACAGTAGTATTCCTTCAATGTTATATTAATGACAATATTAGAATGATGACATCAGAAAAGAAGCCCCAAACACAGCAGAAGAAATAAGCTTTTGAAAGGACACTTTTCAGACCCTTTTTGAACAGTGTGTTTCTAGGAAAAAAAACTGAATTAAAGCAGATTAAGTATAATGAACATTCAGGTATCTTTTATGTTAACTGGGTCCAGATTTATATTCTAAGTTTTATTAGTGATATATTATGTCTTTATCCTAGGTGATACAATTGCAGTAGTTAGAAGTGTAGTTCATTAATCTGTTCTTTATCACTAACTTATTCAGTCCATCCAGGTTAGACCCTCTTCACCCTGCCACCAAGCACGATCAGACATTACCATGCGTATCCTGCAAAAGCTCATCTTACTCTGAATTGTAGATCTTCAAGTCCCAACAAATACGTTTTTAGATGAATCTGAACAGTTTGAAAGATGGAGGCAGTTCAGTTGAAAGATGCCACGGTGATTAGTTTTTAAGCATAATGTTACTGAACATACTTTAAATGATCTGGAAGAGGGGCAAAGGATTAAACAGCTGTAAAATGTTAAATTACTTCACCGATAATACTAATTTGGGGTATGAGGCAAGCACGAAGGAGAACAAAGTAAACGTATGAAGGCTGGAAATCCATGCGTAAAATGATACAACCTAATCCAATGAGATTCACTAGAAGCATTACAAAATGTACTGTACCGAACAGTCAGTGACCTGGCAGAAGGACAGCCTTGGTGATCGAATAAGTCTCTTCCATCTCCCAACATCTAAGAATTGATGAGAAGTGATAGCAGTGTGTTTAATATTGGTCAGATATAAATATTAAGTTAATGGGGCAAGTGCGGGGTTTTTTTTGTTTTTTTTTTAAGAAAATATATGCCATAGTTGCAGCTGATCTTTAATACATTTCCAGTACTGTTTTGGGTCAATTTTTGAAGCAAACTGCAGGGATTTGATGGTATAATTTCCTCTTGCATAAATTATAAAGACTGCTAAAGCCTATTACAGTTTTGTGGAAAATATAATCCTTTTGAAGCAGCTGTGTATTGTTAACCATATGAGACTGATGTTGAACCGGACTACCACACAGAGGCTGCTGGCCAGGAGAGGTGGCAAGTTTTAGAAATGATACCTTTTTGAGAAAAGGAGGCAAGATTTTCATTGACCTTTCCTGGCACAGCAGAGGATTTAATGTTTGCAGGTTGTAATAGAGTTGTCTGTGTATCGTTATCCAAGTGTTCTGACTACAACTGCTAAGAAATTAGTCTGCCCTGGAGAGGACCACAAGAGCTTGGGATATGTTTAAGATACAGGGATTTACAACAACAATCTAGTCAATGTATCGGCTTTCACTGGATTACAGGTGGAAGGAAATTTTGTATTTTTGTAAATGATAGGAAAAAATCATGTTCTTGAAATGAAGAGTAGAGTTGCAAAGTGCACATTGGTCATGTGAGAAATGACAACCTGTAGGGCGGGCCAGGGAAAACTGGTAAAATTTGGGAGATCAAATATCGAATATCTAAATTTATGGATACTACACTGACCTGTGGATCTACCGGTTGTCTTCTAAATTAACCAGAAAAGGTTATTTCACTCTGAAACTAATGCTTAAGGCCCCATGATTATAATGGGACTACTTGCAAAAACAGTTAAGCATGTGTAAGTGCTTGCTTACCTAGGGGCCTGTGACAAGGAGGACTCTCAATGCAGATAGAAGTTGGCTATGTAAAAGAAGGGCTCTGACTCCTGACATTAAATCTGTAATTGGTTTGAAATTAACAAATCCAGCTCCTAGAAGTATTGACTCTACATATATGAATCTTCACAGAAGACAATGCATTGACTGCAGGATCAATTCTTTTGTAATACTGCTTAATAAAGTAACTTGCTCAGGGTCTGATAAGTATGGTTTATATTCTAGGAAGTGCAGCAATACGTTTTTGTAATTGGCTGTGATCAAAGGTGGATTAGGGGAAATATGAACTTTGTGTGCTCTCAGGTTCAGCAACAAAAGGAAGGAATTATATCACTGAGTCAAAGAACTGTGCTTATAAATGTTCAGTGTCTATATTTTACATATGGTAAATTGTATTTGTATCAGTCAATGAAATCAGCCTCTCTCTCTCTTTCTCTCTCTAATGTACATATTTTTAAGATAATTAGAAAAATGTAATAAAACCTCCGGACTATTGTTTGAATAGAATGGGAATGGTGGTGCTATCAGAAGAAATATTTTCCATCTATAGCATTGCGCAATTGGATATGTTTATTTTGAGGTTTTCTCCGAGCCTCAGGTACTGACCTCTGCTTGAGGTAGAATAGCAGTGCAACCAAATCATCAGCCTGGTCTAGTATTACAAGTTATGTTTCTGTGTTTTAGTCACTTTGTTTATGTAACCATTTGGTTTAAACAGGTGCAAATATTTTTTACTCAGTAAAACTCTAAGAATGTGATCAAAAGTACATGCTTGTTTTTTGTTACTTGCATTTACCTGTTCTCATTAGAAGTGTGCTAAAATAATAGTGTGTGTTTAGTGCATCATACACAGGTACATAATAGAATAATTTTTACAAGGTAAAGTTGTCTTTTTGAAACTTTGTATCTCTGACTAATTGTGGCCCTGATCCTGTGATGAAATGCGTACAGTTGGACTCAGACTTTACTGGGGCTCTGCATAGGCATAAAGCCTTGCTTGCAGGGATAGTATTGCAGGATTGAGGCCTATTGTGCCTCTCTTGTATTTCTTTAGACCCATGTAGCCTAGAAATATGATTAGTCTAACAACTAAGAGGTATCTGTAATATGGTGTTCCAGAAGTCTTAATTTTTTTCCAGACGCATGAAGATTTGAGTTCAATACTGCCCTTACATTAAAAATAAGAGAGTACAGATTTTCTTTATTCACGTTTTGATTGTAGGGGGAGGAAGTGGGGGGAGTTGGTGTGTGTGTTCACTTGAGGCCAACGTGGAGAAGTTTTGATTTTAATATAGAACACTTCATTCCACTTACTGAACTTAGTTAATCAATATGATCTAGTGGACTGCGAGACTTGGACTCCTGACTTCTGAATTTGGCACTGCCCTGCTTTGAGGCACAGCCATAGACAAGCTATTCTGGGTGAAATCCTGGACCTATTGAAATCAATGGGAGTTTTGCCCTTGACTTAAATGGGGTCAGGATTTCACCCTCTGTATTCCCCCAACGTAAAGTGGTAACAATGCCTAACTTACCTTAGGGGTGTTGAGAGTTAAATGTACAGAGCTGTAAAGATATATAAAGTGCAATACAAATGCTTAGTAGTAGTATCATTACTAGTAAACTCTTTTTCTTGTTTTCAACTAAATCTTTACTTTTAAGGTGAGAGATTCAGCCCTAATATTGTTAAAACTAGATAGTTTCTTATCTAGCTTGTTATCCTTCTTTAAAATGAAACGTTTGATGTTGAAACCGAGACATTACTGAGCTTTGTTAATATTTATCTTCACCATCTCCTCTTTTTTGGGTACTTTTGGACTGTCTTACAAACACTTTTTCTGCAAGCAAATACGGCCTAAAATGGAAAACACATTTCTCTACACAAACTTACACGTGAATGTACATTTAACAAATGTAGGCTTTTTTAAAAAAAGGAATATGCCACAAGTAAAAGTTCCAGTTACCTAGGGGAAAAGATATAAACTTCTGGAGTGAGGTCAGAGTGGGGCCAGGAAATGAATGATGACGTTCTACTAGAAGAACTGTTGTAGCACTGTACATTTACCAAAGCACCATCACTTGCAAGTTGTGCCTCTGTACCTCTGCATTTTCAGAGTGTTTTGGCTGGCTACAAGGGTAGCCTTCTATTGCTGGAGGTATTATCTCATTTTCGTTCCTTCCTTACACTCCTTTTTATGCTGCAATAATGGAGTGGGTGTATTGGTAGGAGGGTGGTGTGTTTCTGTAAGAGAACTGTCATTTAAAAATAGAAAGTGGAATAAAGAATCAGAGTGAAGAGGTCAGAGGCAACTTGGGACGTGAGGGTGAAGCTCACTGGTTTTGTATGCAAGTATTTAGAACCAGCTTAGGAAACTTTGTGACTTTATATATTCCCTTTACACTTTGATTTTTGATTACTACTTAACTATAAGGAGAAGTCTATCTTTACAACTAATAAGGGCCCATGCATTCTACCAGTTTTTGGAGAATAATGTACAGGTTCTTCCTCACTTATACTCTTTGTTTTCTAATGTGGTTATTTAAAAGTTGAACCTATGTAGGAAATAAAGCTTTCTGACCACCCTATACAGGGAAAAGTCATTCTGTTTGATCCTGCAGTTGGCAGTGCAGCACTACCAACAACCACAGGTGATCTCCCACTCAGCATAAGGCTTGGAGAAACCGTGCTTTCAGACGTGGTCGGTGGTTCTAGAAGACAACTAAAAAATCCCAGTTTCTTCAAGTGCTTGCTCATGTTGATTCCATGCTAGGTGTGCACACACCTCATGCACAGTTGCCAGAGATTTTTTTTCCCTTAGGGCTGTCCTGACGGACATCACTATCACCCCCTGGAGCCCCACACCTATGCGCCGGTATAAGGGGCGCCACCAGCCCCACAACCTCTCTGTTCCTTCTTACCGCCTGTCAAGGTTCCTCCCCCACTCTGAACTCTAGGGTACAGATGTGGGGACCTGCATGAGAAAACCTCCTAAGCTTATCTTTACCAGCTTAGGTCAAAACTTCCCCAAGGTACAAAATATTCCCCCCGTTGTCCTTGGACTGGCCGCTACCACCACCAAACTAATACTGGTTACTGGGGAAGAGCTGTTTGGACGCGTCTTTCCCCCCCAAAATACTTCCCAAAACCCTGCACCCCACTTCCTGGACAAGGTTTGGTAAAAAGCCTCACCAATTTGCCTAGGTGACTACAGACCCAGACCCTTGGATCTTAAGAACAATGAACAATCCTCCCAACACTTGCACCCCCCCCTTTCCTGGGAAATGTTGGATAAAAAGCCTCACCAATTTGCATAGGTGACCACAGACCCAAACCCTTGGATCTGAGAACAATGAAAAAGCATTCAGTTTTTTACAAGAAGACTTTTAATAAAAAATAGAAGTAAATAGAAATAAAGAAATCCCCCCTGTAAAATCAGGATGGTAGATATCTTACAGGGTAATTAGATTCAAAAACATAGAGAACCCCTCTAGGCAAAACCTTAAGTTAAAAAAAAGATACACAGACAGAAATAGTTATTCTATTCAGCACAATGCTTTTCTCAGCCATTTAAAGAAATCATAATCTAACACATACCTAGCTAGATTACTTACTAAAAGTTCTAAGACTCCATTCCTGGTCTATCCCCGGCCAAGACGACTACAGACAGACACAGACCCTTTGTTTCTCTCCTTCCTCCCAGCTTTTGAAAGTATCTTGTCTCCTCATTGGTCATTTTGGTCAGGTGCCAGCGAGGTTACCTTTAGCTTCTTAACCCTTTACAGGTGAGAGGAGCTTTCCCCTGGCCAGGAGGGATTTCAAAGGGGTTTACCCTTCCCTTTATATTTATGACACCGCCTGTGACAGTTGCTGGAATGGCTTCTTGCTATTGAAAGGCTTTCTTACCCTGATAGTTTGGACTTGAATTTGTTGTATATAGTTTTAATAAGTTAATAAGTTTGAGTATAGACAGTTGTCTGCATCTCAGAGGGACGATGGCCCAGGTGTTGAGACAGTGCCAAATTATTATGAATTGCTGTGATTGATAGGGATAAATTGGGCAAGCATGAGTTTGGTATGGCTTGGTATATCTGGACCTACTAGAGGATTCTGGGAGCAGGATTCTCTTAGCATTAGATAAATGGAGTGAAATACTACTGGAGGTGCTGAAATTACACTGGAATGGTTAACAGCAGCTTGATCGGCATGTGTGTTTCAACATCGAACTTTGGAATATCAGCAGGGGAACCAGCCCACAAAGTAAAGAACATGTAAAATCATGCGATTGGTGGGCTTGGTAACATGGCTGACATGGGTCAGAATTATCCTTTTTGGATAACCTCATGCTAAGAGCTTAACTGAATGATTTATGAGAGGGTAAATTATGGATGAGCTTTGGTTTGTGTGTCCGCTTTGCAATCCCTTCAAAATTGTGAAGAAAACCAGTAATAAATGCTTGAAGCATATTTCTGGAATGTGATTCCTTTGAGGACAAAAAGGTATATAAGTGCTAAGCAAAGTAAATTAGTCAGTTTGGATCAATTCCCCAATTAATATCCAAAGAGGTTTGAGACTGTGAGACAGAAGTCATCGGGGTAACTGAGACCTGGCCTTGAGGGACCTTTGCAAGATCTTAAAACCAGAAGTCAGGGTAACCAAGGTCCTGCTTCGATGGACAGACTAAGTGCCTGAGTGGGGAAAGAGAAGTAGTCTCCATCTAGAGCTGGTAGATATATCTTCTTTGTTTGCCAATCCGGATACTGTGTAAGGCCAACATAGTTACTGAGGGTTTATGCTTGGGGAACTGAGGCTTATGGAGAAGAATTGTCTCGAATTTTGCTCCAGAGCGGGATTGGGTAAACATTCCCTAGGAGATGCATTCCTGATCTCATGGGCTCAACACTTAATGTATGCTTTCCCCCCAATATCGGTTCTCCACAGAGTTCTAACAAAGATACGAACAGATCGTGCCACTGTCATTCTGATTGCCCCATCGTGGCCCAGACAACCATGGTTTCCATTCCTCACCAGAACGGTCAACTCGCCCACCAATTTCGTTGCCCCTCACTCCAAACCTCTATCGCAGTAACATGGCCAACTTCTTCACCCCAACCTGTCCATGCTTCACCTCAAAGCTTGGTTCCTACATGGTTCTCCCAAAATGAACTAGCATGCTCTGAGCAGGTTCAAAGAGTGCTCCTAAATAGTAGAACACAATCTACTTGCATCACCTATCTCAGAAAGGTGAAGCGATTCACACAATGGTGCTCAACTAAACAACTTCCTCCTACTTCTGCACCTCTTCCACCCATACTTGACTACCTATTAGACCTTAAGCAATCTGGCCTGCCTTTCAGCTACATCAAGGTCTACTTAGCTGCTTTACAACTTTTCATGACAGGATCGACGATACCTCTATTTTTGCTTATCTCCAAGCGTTTACTTAAAGGGCTCCAATCCCTATACCCGGACATTAAACCCCTTACCCCTCTGTGGGACCTTCACTTAGTATTATCCTCCTTAACTCAACAACCATTTGAGCCCCTAGCCACTTGCTCCCTCTTACACCTCTCTATGAAAACAGCATTCTTAGTGGCAATCACCTCTGCCAGACGTGCAGGAGAAATAGCAGCTCTCATGGCGGACTCACCGTACACACTATTTTTTAAGGCAAGGTTACCCTCTGACTACACCCCAAATTTCTTCCAAAGGTGCATTCGTCATTCCACATTAATGAGCCGATACACCTACCAAACTTCTTTCCTAAACCACATGCAAACTCTTTTGAATCCACAAAGCATACATTAAATGTACGCAGGGCTTTGTCCTTCTATCTGGATAGAACCAAGCCCTTTAGAAACTC